AAAGTGTAGGCTTTAGCGTTTGCTCGGAGCAATGAATATAAATTTTCATGTTTAATATCGAGATATATAATATACTAACCAAAGCCGCGAAAATTGCTTATGTAGCGTTAGCATAGAGGAAACTGCAGAGCCCATTATATGGCATATTTATTACCAATTCCAAACTGGCGCACGTTGAATATAATTTTATGATGCCATACAATGAGTTCTGCTAGTATCTAGTATGTCTATAAATAGTAATTATTAATTTTGCACATTTGATTTAGTCGGATGGTAATTATAAAATTATATTTATTGCGCTTGTTGCTATAAATTGTTATGCCATAAATTTGTTTGTTCATATCGTAGTCATCATTTTATAAGTACTAATTTAATAATATGTATTATTTTCTATTGGTAATTTATGGAAATTCTAGTTATAAATGTTGCACAGATTTATTACCATTTTACAAGCAACCATTTACTTATATACCATTTTAAGTTATAGTACATTTATTATGCTTTATAATTCTTAGAAATCAGTTTCTTAATGACAAGAAACAAAATTGGATATCTAATTTTTTAAAGATAAAAAGCGTTATAAATTAAGTAGTTTATGAAAGTAATATAAAAAAATATTTTATGCTTTTAGAGTTCACTTTATAGTTTGTCATAAAGATCATAATCTAAAAACTTTCATTACAAGTTTTTGCAGTTCATAATTTTTTTGTCATTATACTAAATTACTCTCACAGAAAATTAGTGTTTTACGATTCACAATGCTGAAGGTTTAAGAACGTCGTTTTATAGCACTTTCATATTATAGTCATTTTTTATATATATTTAGTTTTTTTTATTATATTGGCTTTAGTTAGATACGCCACAACTTGTCAGCATTCTTTCCTAAATGTAATTATATATATAGATAGCAGAATAAAATTAAAATTAAAAAAAAAATATAGTTATATAAAATATTTTTTTTTATCTATTGTAGTTTTTGCCATCGCTTTAATAAATGATATTTAGATTATAATTATAAAAATATATCTGGGGTAAGGTTTTTCAAAAGTTTGTATTCATTTCCTCAAATATTTAATTTTTATACATCCTACCTTCAGTACCAATTAATTAGCAAGTGTAAATCAAAGAGAGTATGTATATGTTCAATCAATAATTTCCTGGCTTTCATAATAAATATAATATAGTTTTTTTCCGTTGCTAGGCTATTTTCTGAGGCAAGAAATATGATAATATAAAGTTCTTCTGTTGCTCGTAAATTTCGCATTTCTTAGACATTGGTAAATCGAGCTAAAAAACAATTTTCGGGAAATGTTTGCGGGCAACCCGCGGAGCAGCCGGGCGTGCAGAGCAAACGGAGAATAAAAGATAATAAACTCAGTGACCCATTTGTATAACTTCTCAAATAACGATGAACTCGTTCAAAGTCAAATTATATCTCAGATTATTCTTTAATATCAGACTTTAGATAGATTATTTTTTATTAAATGCCATAAGCTATTATATAGGGGAAAAATCTGCGGGTAAAAAGGTCCACCACTGTGGTAAAATATTATTTTATATTTTATATATGATATAATTAAGTCATAAGTCAGTTATTTCCTTGCTCAAAAATCTATCTCTGCATGTAGGGCATGGACGCATTGTCATAATATGCAGGTCAATGTCACCATATCAATAACCTTAGATATCAGACGCTCTGAATTTATGGCGTCCGTGAACGTGATCTGCTGTTTTATACTCGTCTCGTGCCAAATTCTACATAAAGGACAATGAAAAAACACATTAACGATTCTTTTCTTACGAAAATCCACATTAATCACATGTAGACGATTTGGGAATCTCATGGGGAAAATGAACTTTATCTGGTAAAAACATTTATCCTTGTTTCCTGGCTGTAAAGAAGATTAATTAGAAAATCTTATTTTTGTTAAAATTAAATCATTATATATATTAATGCTTCAAAATAAATATTGATAAGTTTACCCCAGCCTAGACATATACCATTGCTTTTTTAAATATTCATATTTTGATCATATCAATAGTGAAAGGTCGAACAAATTCTCTTTTCCATTTTCGCATACCATATTTTTTTATTAAAATATTTTGAATATTTGTGAATATTTCAGGTTATTTGTTACCAGTATTCGATGAAAACTTTGAATTATTCAAATTGTTCAAATTGCATGGGATTTTATGGAATGTTTACATGATTTTCATACATACGAGGTGTGTTCAAAAAGTACCCGGAATTTTTAAATTTCGCGGGTCTGGAGTGTCTGATTGTCAAAAATTTTTTTTTATTGTGTTGGTATACATGCCCCTAAAGTATGATGAAATTTTCAGCTATATTCACTGTTTACTTTGTCTGTGGTAGTCGCTAAGGTTCGACGTGTTTTTCTGAGCTCGGCGATTTTTACAATGGAAGAATTGAAAAGTCAAAGAATTTGTATTAAATTTTGCGTAAAAAATGAAATAAAGTGTTCCAAAGTGCAAAAATTCACCAGATATGGCTCCGTGTGACTTTTTCCTATTCCCAAAGTTGAAGAGACCCATGAAAGGACGGCGGTTTTCCTCGATTGAAGAAAATCGCTGAGAGTGCTCAAGGACATATCAAAAAGTGAATATCAAGGGTGCTTCGAAAATTGAAAAAAACGCTGGCATAAGTGTATTATATCTGGGGGGGACTACTTTGAAGGGGACCACATTAATGTAGACGAATAAATAAATATTTTTTTGAAAAAACGAAAATTCCGGGTACTTTTTGAACAGACCTCGTACATTTATCTTACTGAAGGAAAATTAAAATGATTGTAATAGTGAAATAAAATATGAACGAACAAAACAGTTTACGTATGGAATACGTATTTTTGTATTATTTATGTGATTTTTATTTTATAAATTTTTTCATAATTATTGCTATTTAACACTATCGTAGACAGTAACAGTTTCAATAAGATACAAAAAATGACAGTCATTTTATTTTCAAATTGGTTGTGATATCCAAAAATTGATTAAATTCTGTTTAAAAGGGTAGTAAAATTAATTATTAACTATGAGAAAAGATAATATGAAAATAACCTGTTAGTCATTACCTTGGAAGGTATAATAATTACAAAATCGTAAGGTTATATAAAAAAATTCAAAAAAAAAAAACATTTAAGTTTAAAATTTGAATGCTATAGCATTTACTTTCCCAGTCCTACTGTTTATATTCCAAGGTTTGCAATTATCTATTAAATATTACAAATTATTTTATCATTATATAATTTCTTTATTATTATATCTGATAATTTCAAAACTCCAAATTAGTTTTGAAGCATCAAAATAATTTCCTCGACATTTTTCCCAAAGCGACTTCTGTAGAGCACAATTAGTATTTCGTCAGAAAACATTGAAGAAACTTTTCAAATTAAAATTCCACGAATTCTCGCAAGAAGAAAATGACATCCTAAAACCAGGTTTAGAATGCAATCAACTTTTTAAATTGAATGTTATAGGAGTTTGCCTCTTAAATTGGAGATGGCTTTGGGAGAGGAATTATGATGCGCGTATGGGGGATCAAAGTCATTGAAATAAAATATATATTTGTAATTTATAATTTTTTATATATTCTCTGGTTTTTCTCATATATTTCAATAAGTGATTTATTAAGTTTTTAATCAAATTTAAAATTTTATCAAAATTATTAAATTAATTAATTTCACTTCAAAATATTTATATTTTGCTTATTCTAATTCAGTTGAAATAAAAAAGAGCATATGCATTATTTCATATAATTTCATATTATTTCATATATAATTGTGAATGTGTGTTCAAAATTAAATAAATACGTAATTATGCATCTATATATTTAGTAGAGAATGAGAGAATATTATGATAAAACGCATTTATATAGGTACACTAGAAATAATATAATAATATTTAATTAAAAGTGCAATTGCCAATAGGTATAAAAATGAGGTATATTAGTATAGAAGTGCAATAGTTACACCTTTTTTAGTAGGAATTTATTTGGAGTCCTGTTTACAATAGTAACTATCACGTAACTTACTAAAACTCATATCGTAATTGTACAATTACATAGAAAATAAAATTATTTTACAATCCTCTACATTTTAAACTAAACTACTTATTTAAAATTATTCTACATTTTAATGCAATTTAAATTTCTACATTTAATTCTATTTTTTTTTACATTTTTCTAAGAAATAATAATTATATTTATATACATTAATATGGTTATAATGCTCTATATTTTAATCTAAACTGCTTATTTAAAATTTTTCTACGTTTTAATGTAATTTAATTTTCTACATTTAATTCTATAATTTTTTTACATTTTTCTAAGAAATAATAATTATATTTATATACATTAATATGGTTATAATGCTCTATATTTTAAACTAAACTACTTATTTAAAATTTTGCTACATTTTAATGTAATTTTATATTGTACATTTAATTCTATCATTTTTTTACATTTTTTTAAGAAATATTAATTATATTTATATACAATAATTTGGTTTTAACTTACAATATTTTATCTAATAGTATAGAATATTCAATGGTATATGAGTATATAATATCGGGAATATATTATATTAATTGTGGATATATTGTAATTACAAATGTGAGTACCTCCTGGATTTAATGATCACACAAATGAACATGAAGTAAACATGCTTTAATATGTAATTATACTGATATACCATACAGTTTAATAGTACATAATTTTGAGTAATTTAGAATAAGTGCTTTTGATATTATTCTAGAATTTTTCCTATTTTAGAAAAATAGTGTCATAAAAAGTCGATTAAAAAATATAATTACAAAAGCTTCAAGGATACCACTACCAGGGCAAGATTGGAATAGAAATTCCAATTTAGAATTCGTTATATATTTCATATAATATTTTGAGAACACTTGATATCGTATTAAACATTCATGATTATGTCTAAATCCCCTGTTGACTGTGCTGGCGTATTTTAAAAAGAAAATCGCTAGGCTTTACAACGAGCTTTGCAAAGATGATTGATTACAACTGGAGCATAGTCAACGAAATTGCGTCCGTCAACACGAAAACATTCTGAATTTATAAGAAATTCCTCGAGAGATTCGTAGCACCTGAAATGGTGTTAAGTTGAAATTAGTAATACATTAAATACAACGTGTGTCCCAGAACTCAACGTCAAGCTAAAACGGGGAGATAGTGTTGCCCATAACTATCATGAGAAAATGATAAAAAAACACGTGCATGTCATCGTGCTTTATAGCAAATTGCTTAAACTTTCCGAACCATAATGAAATAATTAATTAGTTTAATTTTTTTTTTGGAAATTAAAAAAAAAACAAAAAAAATTCTTTCCCCCAAAGGCAATCGCACAAGCAGAAAGTTTTCTGCAAGTATTTAAATCGGTTGCTTTAGTTCTCTCAGTATCTCCTATATTTTGCATATTTAACTCCACATACATTTTTTACATACAAATATACACACACATACACACATGCATTTTTTCTGAGGTTTGCCAAAATGTTCAGAAACCTCTCAAACGTGAATATATGCAAAGCTCTTCATTTTCGATTTTCGGCCTATTACTATATCTTAATATTTACGTATTGTGAAAATTATGAGCTTTTATGTGCAACCTAGAGCTTTGGTAAAAATGTGTCTATTTTTCGATCTTTTTGGTTATTTTTTGTTAATTTCATACATTTAAGCTTTGGGTCCATAATCGTGAATAATATTTTTTGGACCATAGTTGAAAATAGAGACACAATTACCCCATGTTTTCAAAAATTAAGACTTTTTTAAACCATGAGTTTAAAATTATCAAAATTTTTTGACTTTGAGAGGCCTCATTTAAAAAAAAATCACAAAAGCATTTAATCAGGATTATCTCCTACATAAAGATGGAAAAATTGCCATACGATCTGAAACAAAATGTCCAAAAAAGGAGATATTTTATTGGAGATAAACTATTTAAAGGCATAAAGGCCAGCATATCGTCTTAAAAAATGAAGTATATTTTGATAGGAAATAAATATATGCACACAAAAAATTAATCAGGATTGTAAAAAGGTAAAAGACTGTAATTGAATACTGGGACACTCTGTATCTCAGAACTCAACGTTAAGCTGAAACAGGGTAATAGTGTTAATCATGTAAAAATTAGAGTTAAACTCACGTAGTGTGAAAATTATGAGCTTTTGGATGCAACCTAGAGCTTTCGTAAAAATATGTCTATAATTTTGGTTATTTTTGGCAATTTTGTAATTTTAAGCTTTGGATAATTGTGAATACTATCTCTTGATAGTTAAAAATAGTGACACAGTTAAACTTTAGTGTAGGCAAGTATCATCAAAAGTTGGCGCATTTAATCAGGATTGTAAAATGGTAAAAGACTTGATAGTTCTTAGTAAAAAAGAATCTTGTAAATAAAAATTAAGTATAAAAATAACTCGCAAACTAATATAATTTTATCGCATCAAATAAATTAATTTTAAAGAACCTTCTCCTCTTAACACCTGTTTTACAAAATGACCTACATATTTCATTTCCACTAACTCCTAAGCCAGATGGTAGCATGTGAGCGCTGGAGAAAATTAAATGCTAAGAAAGATTGTGTGGCAGTAAACAATTTAGCCCAAGTCCTTGCGTAAAATGAATCACCGTCATTTCTGTTAACTTTTTCATTATAATTCTTTTCTTTTGCTTTCGTCGGCGACACAATAGACGACAAAATTGCAAGATGATATATTGTCACAGGCTGTTTTGGCGAGGTAGATATTGAGATTACGAATATTTTTCAAATTTAATCCACAAAGGGAGAGAATGATTGTGGGATTATATTTTAAACTAAAAATATCGATCTGATTTTTGCTCAATTTATGGGTAATGGAATTATTTTCAAAATTATACCTCAAGATATTGTTTTATTGGCTATAGTATTCATTATTATAATTGATGTTTGTATTAAAGTTTAATTAAATCATAACTAGTGGTATATGGCATCGTGTCTTAAGGCAAATTGCTGGAACTTTCCGCACTGTAACAAAATGTTCGAGGAATATTCATTGCTTTCAAATAGATTATTATAAATAGTAAAACATTATTAATTATTTGTATTTAATTATTTATTTAAAGTTTACAAGTGAGCTTTAGATATACAAAAAAAAATTAGAAAAAAATTGGAATATTTTTTCCCAAAAGCTATTGTTTTGACAACAAAAGCAGAAAGCTTTTTCAACCATGCAAATTCGGTGCTTAGTTCTCTCAAAAATGCTATTCTTTGTACATTTAGCTTTGTATTTTTTAAATGGCTGGACCTGCCTTTGCCAAAAACCAATCACCACTTCTCCCTATTAATATGAATCGAATGTTTTTTGAATCATTCTAATCGGTTGATCCGTGCGACCAAAACCGTGGACAAAAAATTGTATCCATACATACACACACACACACATACACACAAATCCATTTTTTCTGAGGTATGCCAAAATATTCAAAAACCTCTGAAAGATATGCAACAATTTTCATTTTAGATTTTTGGTCCATTACTATAACTTACCAAGTTCATAATATGCAGAATTTGTTTTCATGGGCATTTAAAATTCTATCATATTTTTATTTGTAAAATCATTCAGTGAATTATTGAAGTTTATTATGTAAAATAGGCGCACAAATATTTTTTAAAGTACAATTTATTTTTTACTATATTCTCGACTTTTTCATTTACAATCCTGAAAATGATTTTTTTAGATAGGTACTTATATATTAAAATTTTATTTTTCTAAACTATATATATGCATTTATATTATATTATATTATATTATATTATATTATATATACATAAAGATATATATATATATATATATATATATATATATATATATGTACAATAAATATGTATGTATATATGTATGTATGTATGTATGTATGTATATTAGTTACTCTTTCAAGAAATGTAGTTACCTCAACCTGTCACTCGCAATTCCCTGCAAGTTGAATTGGTTTCGAAAATTATTCCCTCAGAATTAATTCCGATATGAACTTTATAGAAAACCTACGACAAAACTTTTAAATGAAAATTGCAATCCATTACCTATCGTTCCTATTGAAGAAAGTTCGATTGGATATTCTGATAAATGAAAAAGCCATGAAGACAATGGAACGGAAGAAGTTGAGATGAAATACGATAATATTCTGGATGATATATTAAGCAGATCTTTAGTATTCGAGATTTATATAAGTTTTAAAGTCGGTTAGTTGATGAATAATACGCGGCTGAAGAAGTTTTGATCTCTGAGTAATACGACTGAGGATATCTCACAAATTACTTTCGAAACTTCGTTTCTAATTTGTTTTATTAAAATTTTAATTTCACTCGAGGGAAATTATGAATTTAATACCTGTGAGGTATTCCACGGCTCATATTGAGGACGGAGATTTACTAAATTAGTAAAGTTACAACTTCGTGGTTTTGTAACGTAAAGCTTGAATCTTTTAGTAAGCATTTCTTTGAGCTACGTTGGGACAGAAGTAGGTCAGTGATAACTATAGTTGATTCTTAGACATAAAAGCAATTTTAGATGTCATATCAGTCATGTTTTGTTGTTTTAATTATAATTGAAAATTTCATTTATAGAATGAGTAATATTAAGATTAACTAATGGTGTATGGCATCATGCCTTGAGGCAAATAGCTGAAACTTCCCGTATTGTAATATTCAAGGAATATTACATATATATTTATAAGTACTTGTAACTTCGTTCATTATTTTTATTTTATAGACAAAGTATAAGAGCTTATGAATTGGACGACGACGTTTATATATGTTTGTATGAAAAGTAAATAAACAAGACTTGATCAATCGAATTAATTTTTTTTTCTGAGGTATTCCAAAATATTCAGAAACCTCTGAAACGTGAAGATATGTAAAAATTTACATTTTCGATTTTTGGACGATCATAATAATTTACCCTACGGGAAGTTAATTATATGGTAACAAATGTCCAATTTAAATTTAAGCAAATATCAAATAATCGATAACATCTATCAAACAAACAATTATCAAACAAACTACGATCTATACATATATTTACTAACATCCTTGATAATTCAACATTACAGAAATTTGTATATTCGCTATTTTTTAAAAATTATCAGCAGTTTTTCTTACAGGCAGAGTTGCTCTTTTATTTTTAATTTTTGATGCAAGTCAATTATAGCTTAAATAACAAAATTAAAAATTTTAATCTAAACATATATTGTTAAACATAATAATCAACTAGTTGTGAGCGGCAATTTAAGGCAATTTGCTTTTCTATATGTGTACTTAGTCGGTAGAAATTGAAGCTTAGTTAGCTATTTAGACAAAAATTTTACCGGTATATTGTATGGACACGTGCTTGTATGCCCTAAAATTGTAGTTTATTATTTTAAATTTACAATTTTTCTCAAACTTTGATGAATTTTTAACATTAAACTATTTGTCGTAGGGCCGTAACATTTTAGTACGTTTTTTAAGACCATGGTTTCTATTGCCAAAAAAGGTTCATAAAAATTGGCTATTTTTTTTCAACAGTTAATTTTAAGAGAACGGCTTGGTAGATTTTTAGTTTTTACTGAAAACACAGGCCAACAAAGAAAATGGTGCAAAGGATTTTAATGCTGTTTATAAGTATATTTGGGGCGATGATTTCAAAAATGACATTGTTCTTTTTCTATGAGCTTTAGTTTTCAAGATATGATATATATGATATGTAAGGAATGAAAGTACAAAATAGTAATACAATTCAAAATGTAATTTTAATGAGATATACCTACTCGTACATACAAACTTATGAGATCCCATCGGCCTTAGTTGGGACATTAGTTGACACTGTGAAAAATTCTTTTCCGTGACGACTTAAAATGGACCTGGTTTCGGCAACTTTTTTCCAAGTTCCAGACTAGACCTGATACAAAAAAATGGTTTGCAGATTTGAAATCAGTGCAAACAAAAAAAAATTTTGTAGGGCAGTCAAATTAATCAATTAAATTCTCAAATATTTTTCAAACTACTTATAAAATCTGCTATTATATGAATTAAAGTGAACAGCACGTGCTTATATATCCTAAATGC